GCCAGTGACCGGGAGGGAGGACGGTTCGGAGAAGCAATGCCCTACTCCACCCACCCAGGCCTGGGCTAAAAGGAGGGTGGGAGACCCCACCGGGCCCCTGGGCCCTCTCCACTCCCGGGGTGCCGGACTGTCTCCACCTGGCACCAGCCCCCACTTGCCCTGGGCGGCGGACAGGAACCACTCCCGCCGTGCCCGCTGGGGCGCTTCCCGCAGAGATAAGGAGCCCTCCCTACACGAGATGCCCTGGACGTGGCCGCGTCCACCATCCCCAGCAAAGGCCCCCGCCCCCGCACGGATCGCTGTTACCACGGAGGGAGGGGACGCCCCGTCTCGGAGTCCCCTCTTCTAAAATTCCCCGGGCTGCTGTCCAATGGTTTTCCCAGGCAGCGGCGGGGGTGGGGGGCTCGAAGAGCCCGGGATGTCCCGTGGGGATGGGGAACTGGGGAGCGGTGGGCCTCCTGGCTCCGCGTGTGCTTAAGGCCGGCGGGCAGTTTTGGGGGGCTACCAGGCTGAGACGTCCCTGGTAATTTGTCCCCAACTCTCTGTCTGGGACAGGGTCGGGTCAAAGTGTGTGGGGAGAAGTTCGCCCACGCTGGTTTGCATCTATTTGCACTTTGGCGGTGACTCGTCCCCTCCCTGGCTCCCAAATATCTGGGGGCTCGGGCACGTGCCGGCGGGCTGGGACTAGGGCTGGGGAGCCCCTTCCCTAGATCCTGGACCTTAGGCGAGTGGCGGGGCTGCAGCCCCGGGAGGATCCCCGCCCCTTCAGTACATCCCCACGGATCCCGAGCGCTCCCTGGACACGCGCCCCCGACCCCGCCCCACCCCCGCTCGGTAGTCGGCTAGGCCTGGGTGCAGCCCGAAGGTGGAGGTGGACCAGATGACCTTTCTTAGCTGATTGGCCTGGAACCCAGGTCCATGGGTCCAGATCCCGGACTCAGGGGGCGGGTCTCGAAGGGCGGGTCTCAAAGGGGCGGGGTCTTGGGGTCCCTGAAAGGCGCGCACCCGGCCGGACCCACCCAGTCCAGCTCTCCTGTCTGCTCCTGCCCAGACGTCCGCGCGGGACCCCCAGCCGCCATGCCTAAGTGCCCCAAGTGCGACAAGGAGGTGTACTTTGGTGAGCGCTCCCCGCCTACCCCTGCTCACCCCCGGCCGGGAGCGCGCCGCCCCGCGCTGCCCCCACTAGGAAGCGCGGCCCAGGGACGACCCGGCCGGGCCTCTCCGGAGGGCCGGGCACGCCGGGGGACCCTGGGGCTGCGTGCCGAGAGCCGACACTTCAGCCCTGCCGCCCACCGCCTGGGTGTGCGGGTCAGGACCCCGGCGTGGGATGGCCCTCTGTCTCTGCTGATTCGGTGTCACCGCCCCGCTGTCTCTTCCTCTCGGTCCCGCTGGGTCTCCCCTTGTCTGGGTGCTCCTTCTCCGGGTCTCCCGGTCGCTGGGGCTCCCCAGCTCTCCCGTCCCCCCTCGGCGTGCCCTGGGCGGGGACCGCGCGACAGAGGGAGAAACGCTGCGTTCTAGCCGCCCCTCCCATCGCTAAGTAGAAACAGACGCAGAAACCGGCGCCCGAGGCGTGATCCCGGGCGCGCTGTGAACCGGGTGCAGCCTCCCTGTCCCTTGCCCCGGGGCCCACCCAGGGGAGAGGCGGGAGGAAGTGGGAAGTGTGTCTTCCGCCTTCGCCCCTGAGAAGGGAGCCCTGCACTCCCCACCCCCTACACCGCGGCGTGTCACCCAGGCCCCCACCCCTGGCCCTCGAGGCCTCCTCCTGCAGTACCACCCAGCGCCCCCTCCCGTTTGTTTGGCCGGATTGGCCTAGGGGACTGGAGATGCCCCTCCCTACTGACGGGGCACAGGGCTGAGACCCGGGGTGGGCCACCAGGCGGGCGTGGGTGAGACCAAGGGCAGAGGCAACTGGAGAAGGCTGGTGTGTGAGTAGGTGGGTGTGCCCTGTGACCCCAGAGCAGGGTCTCATACTGGGGGTGGGGGGTGCTGTCTGTGCCTCTGCAGCTGAGCGGGTGACCTCTCTGGGGAAGGACTGGCATCGGCCTTGCCTTAAGTGTGAGAAATGTGGAAAGACGCTGACATCAGGGGGCCACGCTGAGGTAGGTGTGGGGCCTGGAGGGCAGCAGGGGTGCAGGGTGAGGGTGGACAGCCCCTCATGGCCCTTCTCTCTGCAGCATGAAGGCAAGCCTTACTGCAACCACCCCTGCTATGCCTCCATGTTCGGGCCTAAAGGTATGCTTCCCCGGCCCCTGCCCTGGCCCCCCACCCAGCCCCTGGCCACCCCTAACCTGCCTACTCGTTTTGTCTGCAGGCTTTGGGCGGGGTGGAGCCGAGAGTCACACTTTCAAGTAAACCCAGGTACATCTCCCCCAGCCCAGACCATCAGGCCTTTGGGATGGTCCCCCCACACCCGAGTGCGGTCTGACTGCTCACTGGGCCTGCACTCACCTCTGTCTCTGTCTCTCTCTGCGCAGGTCATGGAAACGCTATCCCTGGCTGCCCACCGGGCCACTGCCCTTCCAGGCTGATTGCAGGCCTTATCCCCAGGCACCCGGGGCCCCCTGTCGGCTCCCATGCCCTCAATAAAGCTGAACACTCAGAAGCCCTGCCCGCGTGTGTGGAGGCGGGGGGCCGGGGGAGGGGGCTGCGGCCGTCTCCAAGCCCTGCCAGGGCCCCTGGCTCTTCCTGCGGCAGCCGGCCTTGCTGCCCATCGCCCTGGCGGGGTGCTGTGCTGGGGGCCACCCCAGCCTGAAGCTTCCTCTACAAGGCAGGCGGCTGGCCACCCTGGAAGGCCCCATGTGGCTCACCTCTCCAGCTCCCAGCCCCGCAAATGCCCCAGGCCTCCAGAAGTTCTGGGATGTGCCCAACAGGGAGGGTGAACATGAGGCCTAAGAGTCAGTGGGTGGTGGCCACAGGGTGAATCAGCTGCGCTCACCCTGGTTCCGTTTTTGAGCTCTGGGGGAGTGGTGGTGGGGAGTCCTTGCCTGCTCTCTCCACTTCCTGCCCCACGCTTATCCCCATAACCCACCGGCCTGGATGGACCAGGCCAGCCACGTTCCTGCTGGAGCATGCACTTGGACACCCCCGTTCCCCCCCCCCCCCCCCCCCCCCCCCCCCCCCCCCCCCCCCCCCCCCCCCCGGCCCCAGTACTGAGTGGCCAGCCACTAAATGGAGAATTGGAGGACTGGCTGGGCCTGCATAGTTGGGGGCTTTCTGGAAACTCCCATGTCAATTCTGGCAGCATCTGCAGACTGGGCCTCACTCAGAGCCCTCCCCATTCCCCCCTGGCCACTCAGACTCCAGCCCTGGCAGAGGGCCACCCCTCCCAGGCGTCGGCCCTGCTGCAGGCCTGAGCTGGACAGTCTGTTGAGGGGTCTCAAGGGCCACTTGTAGGGTGGGGCTAGGTTACTGGGTGACTTACAGAACTCCAAGAGGTGGGAGCCAGAGTTCATCTGCAGGGACGGGGTGGGAAGGAACAGATGGTGCTAAGGTGAGGCAGGGTTTCTCAGTGGACAGTGGGAGGGTGGGGGCTGGGGGCTTGGGAGATTCAGTGGGGTGTTGTGCCAGAGTGAGGAGTCGGGGTACACAGGAAAATCTGCACCAAGTGCTGGGAGGGGCAGGGCTGAACAAGGCTACCGCCTCCTACCGGTTCTGGGGCTGGGCTCTGGTGTAGCTCGCAGCCAGGTAGGGCAGATGCAGGATGAGTGCTGAGATCTGACGCCTGCGGGCGGAGGGGGTCAGGACGCAGGTGGAGAAAAGCGCTTCTGATGGAAGGCCCAGAGAGAAGGGCTGGTGGGCTGGGCGGGTGGGTCAAGAATGTGGTCTTTATCCTGAAGGCCCCAGGGCACTCCACCTGGCGTCCGCAGAGTGGCCTGCGGAGACCAGACCGGGCCGAGCTGAAGGGGGCCGAAGGTGGGGGCCGGGGAGGGGGAGGTGAGCGGCTCCGCGGGGGCGGGGCCTCCTGGGAGGTTGCGGTAGTAGCCGGCAGTGCCCCAGAGGGAAGCGGGCGAAGGTGAGGACCGGGGGCGGGCCGCCGGCACCCGCCCGGACGCACTTCCTGCAGGTGTGGCCACGGCCGGCGGGTGGAGGGGTGCGTGGGCAGGGCTGGCGGTTCGGTCCCTTCCACCGCTTCGGGGAGATGTAATTTACACGCCACACATTCAAAATTCTCCCGTGCGGCTCGCCGGCTTTAACCAATGCGTAGGGCTCTGCAGCCGTCCCTGGTGTCCGAGCGCCGTCCGTGCGGGCCATCTGCCGTTTGGGGCATCTCGCGCGCGCACCGTAGACACGCGGCCGCGCTGCGCGCCCGGCTTCCTTCACGCGCCGGGGCGTCCGTGCGCACTGCCGGGCTCCGGGACCGCCGCCACAGCGGCGGCGAGCACCGCGTCCGACAGCCGCCAGACTGCTCTGCCAGTGGCCGCGCCCAGTCGGCTGCGGAAGGAGCGGCTCAGCGTGCAGCGCAGCGAGGCCGGGGGGCCCGCGCCGGAGTCCGGGTGTGGGCTTGGGGTGCGGAGGGGGCCGCCCGCATCCCGCGGGAGCCCCTGGCGCGCCGGCCGGGCCGGGCTTCGCGGAGGCCGAGGGGCTCCCGCGCGGGTCGGTGGCGCCCGGCTGCGCTGCGTTCCCGGCCGCAGGGGGCGCCCGGAGCGGGGCCGCGGGCACTCCGGCGGTTCCTAGGCTGCTTTTGGCTCAAGGTTGGCTGAGGCGCTGATTGGTGGGGTCTGAGCTAGGCGGGTGTCGGGTGTCGACGCGATTGGGCCGCAAGGGTGGACCCCGCGGAGCTATCGACGCCAACTGGTCTCTGCCGCACAGGAAATGCCTCCACACTGGACGGAACAGACTGCACTCAAAGGCCTGGGCACCGCTCATTGGGCCGGCGCTGGAGGCGCGCCCCCGCCCGCTCGGTGACTGGGCGACGGCCCAGCAGGGACGGCACCTGCGCGGTGATTGGACGCCGGGAGTTCCCGGCGGCCGCGGCGCGCGATCCGAGGGAAGCCGGCTGCATGGGGCGGCGGCGGCTCCGGGGGCACCGGGGAGACGCGGTCGGGGCCCTGCCCGAGGCCATCGCCGCGCTGAGTCAGACGCTGCCCGCCGGGCCCAGCCCCGAGATCTTCCGCCGCGCCAAGTTCGACCGTCCGGAGGCGGTGGGGCCCGCGGGGCAGGCGGCGGGGGCCCGGGCGGACGCAGGGAGGCGGCCGGCCCCGCTGAATGCCGCTCTTTGATCCCTCCAGGCCCCGGCGCTCTGGCAGCTGCTCTTCCGCGTGCTCTCGCCGCTGCCCGCCGACGGCGCCTCGGCCTCCCGGGCCTCCCCGGCCTCCCCGGCCCTGGGTAAGCCCCGCCTTCCCTGTTAAGGCTTGCCCGCTCACCGTGGGGCCCACCTGTCACGCAAGCCCCGCCCCCGGTTAGCCCACCCGCCCCAATTAGCCCCGCCCCCACATTAAGTCACGCCCCTGCGGGCTCCGGCTCTGTCCACTCACAGACCCTGTGGCTGGGTCCGCCTCCTGTAAAGCCCGAGCCCGGTGAGCCCCGCCTCCCTGGTAAGAACCCGCCCCTGCGGACCTTGGCCCCGCCCACTCCACCTGCTCGGGCAAAGCCCCGCCCACCGTATTAGCCCTGGCCCCCTCCAAACCTGGCTTCTGCTTGGGAGTCATGCGGGGTCTCTCCCAGTGGGCAGCCCCCTGAGCAGGCGGTCCCCCATCCCCAGAGGCCCAAGTCCACCTGGTGAAGTCGGCGCTGCGCTCCCAGGGCTACCCCAGGAGGGCGCTGGCACAGCTCCCCGAGGACGGCTCCCAGGGCAGCCGCGAGCTTCTGCTGGCCCTGGCCTGGCTCCTGGCCCGCGGGCCCCTGCTCGAGCAGCTGCTGGCCCAGACGCGCGTGCGGCTGGGCGACGAGATACCCCTGTGCGAGGTGCGTATGCTGTGAGGGGGCATGGGGCTGGGTCCTGGCGGGGAGCCTGGGTTCAGCCTGGGCCAGCCCTCAGGGCAGCCCTGTGGGGGTCGGCATTGCCATCCCCCTGCCCCTGCCTTCTCCCCTGCCCCTCCTTTCGGGCGGGGTGGGGTGTGTGTGCTCACAGGTGCTCACAAGTCTCCCCTTGGCACCCCTGGGGGCCCACGGCTCTCCCTCCAGGAGCCTCTTTTCTCTGTCCCCCTTGGGGTCTCCGCAGGGGATATGGGAACAGGGTGTGACCCTTGTGCCCTCTCCAGTGTGAAACCCTGGCCAGTGCTGGCCCACTCCCACCCCGCCGGGAAGCAGATGGCCCTGTGGACATACGCCACTTGCAGTGGCTGATGGGAAAGCTACGGTTCCAGTGGCGAAAACTGATCACCAGTCAGCAGGAGCAGTGTGCCCTCCTGGGCAAGGTATTGTCACCTGAGGATTGTCCACCCAGGAACACTTACTCTCCGTGATACAGGCTGTCAGCTCCCTCTCTGCCTGAGGCCTGGATGGACCCGGAAGTCATCAGAGGCCTCAGGCTCTGTCTCTGAGCAGAAATGGGCTCTGGGCCCTGGGGGAGCCGCTGTTGCCTGGGCCTGTTTCCGGGAGGACGGTATCCCTTCCTTCTGCCACATCCTGGGTGTAGGCTGATGGGCAGTGGGCAGCTTCTGTAGGGTTCCTGAGGGCTGGTAAGGCTCAGCTGTGGGGGCACAGGTCTTTCTTACAGGTCTAGTGCAAAGTCTAGGCTGAGAAGTGGCTGGGCAGGGAGGCTGGGACCCCCACCAGCATAGGGCTCCTCAGTGCTGGGCCCCCCCACGCTGCACCTGTGTACCCTGCACCCGTGCGCCTGTGCACCCTGCACCTGTGCACTTCTGCACCCCTGCACCTCTGCACCCTGCACCTCTGCACCTGTACACGTGTGCACCCAGCACCTCTGCACTCTGCACCCAGCACCTCTGCACCCCTGCACCTGTGCAGCCATGCACCTCTGCACCCTGTACCTGTGCACCCTGCACCTCTGCACCCTGACCTGTGCACCTAGCACCTCTGCACCCTGACCTGTGCACCCAGCACCTCTGCACCTGTGCACCCCACACCTCTGCACCCAGCACCTGTCCACCCAGCACCTGTGCACCCAGAACCTCTACCCTGCACCTGTGCACCCCACACCTCTGCACCCAGCACCTGTCCACCCAGCACCTGTCCACCCAGCACCTGTGCACCCAGAACCTCTGCACCCTGCACCTGTGCACCCCACACCTCTGCACCCAGCACCTGTCCACCCAGCACCTGTGCACCCAGAACCTCTCCACCCAGCACCTGTGCACCCAGAACCTCTGCACCCTGCACCTGTGCACCCACCTCTGCACCCAGCACCTGTCCACCCAGCACCTGTGCACCCAGAACCTCTACACCCTGCACCTCTGCACCCCGCACCTGTGCACCCTGCACCTGTGCACCCAGCACCTCTGCACCCAGCACCTGTGCATCTGTGCACCTATGCACCCTGCACCTGCGCACCCCGCACCTGTGCACCCTGCACCTGTGCACCCCGCACCTCTGCACCCCTGCACCTGTGCACCCTGCACCTCTGCACCCTGCACCTCTGCACCCAGCACCTGTGCACCCAGCACCTGTGCACCCCGCACCTGTGCATCTTGCACCTGTGCACCCCGCACCTGTGCACCCCGCACCTCTCCACCCTGCACCTGTGCACCCTGCACTCCTGCATCCTGCACCTCTGTACCCTGCACCTGTGCACCCCGCACCTCTGCACCTAGCACCTGTGCACCCAGCACTTGTGCACCCAGCACCTCTGCACCTTGTACTTGTGCACCCTGCACCTCTGCACCCTGCATCTCTGCACCCTGCACCTGTGCACCCATCATCTCTGCACCCTGCACCTCTGCACCCCTGCACCTGTGCACCTCTGTACCTCTGCACGCTGCACCTGTACACCTCTGTACCCTGTACCTCTGCACCCTGCACCTCTGCATCTCTGAGCTCTGCACCCTGCACCTCTGTACCTGTGCACCCCTGCACCCCTGCAGAAGGCTTTTTGCACCCTCAGCCCTTCTTGGAACCTGTGTCTCTCTTGCTTGACTTGGGCTTTACTTGCTCTTCCTGCTGGGACACAGCTACTCATTAACCTCTGTGATGCCTTCAGGTCTTATCTTGCTGGGAAGCCTTCCCTGCCCCCCAGACCCAAACAGTCACTCTCTGTCCCCGCCACTGGCTCCACTGGACCACCTAGCCTGTCCAGAGGCTGTTTCTCCCGCCACGTGGACCTGGCAGTCAGCTTAGGGAGAAGCACTGGTGCCCCATTCCATCCCCACCATACCCCCCGGGAACTGCGTGGGATGGGGAGGTTATAGGCGGGACTGCCCAGGGCCCCTCCCACTGCAGGGGCCTCCTGGAGGGGCCTGGGCCCTGGGCCAGTGGCCCAGCAGTACTGACTACTCTCCTGAGCCTGACCCTGGCCTTCCCTGGAGCACCCTGGTGAGGCGTGGCCCATTTCCTTGCCTACAAGGCAGGCTCCAAAAACCTCACTCAGCGCTGGGAGAGGTGCCCCTTCCTGCTCATCCTGGGGTTTGCACTGCCTGTTTCAGATCCACTCCTATACCCGCGGCTGCCACAGTGACCGCAGCCTTGGCCACCTGTCTGTTGCTGAGACGGAGCTGTTCAGGGACCCAGAGGGTGGCCGGCAGGTGAGGGCTGGCGTGGGGCCCCCTCCTGTCTGAGGCTGGTGTGTGTTGGTGCGTAGGACTGCAGAGACATGAGGTGGTGGGGGTTGAGGTGGGGAGGGGCCTGAGGAGGACCCAGCCAACCAGCTATGAGCTCTGGGTGATTGCCCAACTTACCATCTTGCTGGTGTGGGGGACAGGCACGTTCTCAGGGCCTTCCCCAGCTCCCTAGACCATCCAGTGGTGCAGGAATCCAGACCAGCTGCTGTGTGTTCATGTGGCTGAGCATGGTTAGGGCCCCAGAGGCACAGGTGTCTAGGCTGGGCTGGCAGCTGGGTGAGGGGGGAGACTCTGGAATTAAGGAAGACTGCTTTGAGCGTTCAAGCTTATGGTGTTGGGGCCTGGAGCCCATGCAGGGGTTGTCTGGTGACTGAGGTCGTAAGAGAAGGGCTGGTGAGCGTGCCCCACACTTTGCTGACTTTCTTTTCAGGAGACCCTAATCTGTCATGATTGTTTCTTTCTCTTGGGTTGGCATGGCCAGGGTGTCCTGGGACAGGCCCAGGGCTGACTGTCACTTGAGGGCTGGGCTCTGGCTGGCCCAGAGTGTGAGGTTGTCACTGTCCAGCCTGGGGGGCACTTGGCCAGGCAAGAGGGCTGAGGCTCAGGGCTGGTGTGGCCCCTCTTTCCAGGTCCCGCAGATCCCAGCTCTGGGGTCATGTGCTCCCTTTTGTGGGGTTGGGGTAGCCACCTGGGGGTGCCTGCCAGGCCTGCATCCCTGGCCAATACCTGGCTGGCCCTGCTCAGGCAGGGCTGCACTTGTCCGGGGCTCCACGGTGTTGAGGCAGGATCTCGGTGACCCGAGGTGCCCTTGGCTGGGTCCCCTTCTACGGGTGACTCAGCGAGGCCCAGGCTTCCTGCCCCCCCCCCCCCCAGGTTGGAGCAGAGCAGAAACTGCACCAGTTCCAGCCAGGTGTTGCCTGGGGCCCTGGGCCCTGGGCCCTGTGGCGTGGGGGCCTGTGTGGCTCCCCCTCCTGTCAGGCTGGGCTGTGTTGGCGCCGCAGGACTCTAGACAGCCTGAGGTGGATGGGGTCACGATTGGCTTCCTTCCAAAGTTTCTGGAGGGGGTACTGGCAGAAGCCTAGGCTAGTGTCCCCAAAGGGCCTGCGCTCTTGGGATGGGTCCCAGAAGCTTCTGGAGTGATCTGTGGTTGCTGTGCGTGACCAGGCATGCTGCGGAGTAGCCGGGCCTGCAGCCTTCTCACGTCCCTGTGCCTGGCCACAGGGCAGTGGGGTGGACCAGAGGGGTGGCTGCCTCAGGAGGCTCCAGCACTGGGCCCGAAAGTGGGGGGGCACAGGGGACTTGTTGCCTCTTCCTGTTGTGCCTTGCCTGAAGCCGGGGAGCTGGGGCGCACCTGGGGACTGTGGTCGGAAGCCACGTGAACTGTGTGCATGCATGCATGTGGCCTGCACCCTCCCCATGCCCCACTCCCAGGCTGCGCTCCCCTAGGCCCATGGTGGTTCTCTCTGCGGGTGAGCCTCCATCCTGACCCCGGAGCCCCTGTTCCAGCTGCAGTGAGTAGGCTCCTGGCTGCCTGGCTGGCCGTCTGTTTGCTGTGGAGCAGGGGCCCCTTCCTGGCCAGCAGGGACCCCGGGCCATGCGTGCCTGTTGTGTGGGGCATGTGCACCAGCCCTCAGGCGTGGTGGCTTGGCAGAGCTCTTAGCTGGCCCTTTGTCCTGGTCCCAGGAAGCCCAGCACCTCTCTCCTAGAAGGAGCAGAGCCTGTGGCCTGGCTGGTGTGCTGGCTGCTGCGTTCACAGAGGAGCAGGGGCAGGTCTGTGGCTTCCTGGTGGGGGTGGCAGGGGCGGGGCGGGGGAGATGGGGCCGGCCTGCACTGCACCTCTGCAGCGGTCAGTGGGCCCTCTGGTGGTGGGACTCCTGACTCCTGCCTCCCCCCTCCCCCCTCCCCCTGCCCCCAGCTTCTGGAGGCCAAGGCTGGGCAGGTGCTACCACAACCAGAACCAGAGCACTTGGCTGTCTGTGGGTCCCCGTGTCTGTGTGGGGTCTGCAGGTGTGGGCCTGTGCAGGCCCAGCCTCCCCCCTGCCTTTGGGGTTCCTAGGTCCCACAGGAGGGGCTCCCCATTCTGGGGCTTTCTTCTCTGTCTGTGTCTTGGGTGCAGCCCCCCGTTAGTGAGGGTGTGGGGCAGAGGTCCTGAGTCGAGGGTGCTCCGTGTCAGCTCCTGGCCCTGTGGGGACTCACGTTTGGGGCCAGTGTGGGGGCTGCGGGTGTGGTCGGCCTGGTGGTGCCTGGAGGTGGGGCTGCCCTGTCCTGCCTGTGGGGAGATGGCTGTGCGGGTGGGTGGCTGACATGACCGGCTGGCATGCCAGAGGGACTGGTGGGCATGCTGGTTGCGTTGCCGGTGCTGGGGGTCCCAAGTGGGGTTCTGACCTGGCCTCGGCTTATGGTTTGCTTTACAGCTGCTTCAGAGGCTGGAGAGTGAGAATGTGCGCCTGGAGGCCGCCCTGGTGTGGCGGCGGCAGGAGCTGGTCTTCTGGAAGTGGATGGTGTGACCGGCTCTCTCCCTGCACCCAGCCTTGACCACAGCCTTCCTGGGGGGGCGGGGGCGTCTGTCTCCTTCCCGGATAGGACAGGAGACGGGGAGGCCACCTGCACACCCAACTGTGTGTCTGGCGTTAGGACCCAGGCCTGCTGGCTCGGAGCCAGGGCCCTCCCCACCTGCCCTGAGGGGTCCAGCCTTCCGAAGTCGGGCCTTTGTGCCCTCCCTGGCTGCAGGCCTGCCGGCGT